CACTATTTGAAGACTGATATTGACCCATCACGATTTCCCACAATTGTCAGAGCACTTTGAACAGATGATTTTATGTAGTTCTTGCAGCAACTCAGTAAGGGAAGTCTCACTGACAATCTCCATTTTACTGTTAATAAAACTAAATATCCAAAAAGTCAGAAGGTCTGCCCAGTATTCCACAACTGGTCGGTGATAGGCCAGGGTTCCAATACAGCTTCCATATCCAAAATGTGTGTCATTTTCGTTTCTAAGACCTAGTTTAATCACATTCTAGTCAGAATGGTTGGGAAAATAAATTGCTAGCACTCTTTCATTTATCTATTCATTCAGCTTTTACTAATCACTCAATTTCAAATCAGGAAAACAGTAAGCCTGGTAGATAAGGAGATTTCATTGCTTAGAACAGAGGAGTTTATGTACAAAAATTTAAAGTATCAGCATACTTTTTCATTTTGGGGGGTACAGACCTCAATTTTTCATTCATTGGATGAATAGTTATTGCATAAGTGTTTGGTCCCAGACAGGGAGGATAGTAGTACAAAAGAGGGTGTGCACAAAAGAAAATTGCCTCTGCCCTCTTGAGCTTGCACATTAGTTGGGGTGTGATGGGTAGAAATTAACCAAGTAAGTAATGCCCGGGGCTCCTGAGGATGTGAGGAAATAGACAGCGGGAGGAGTACAAATTGCCAGCACCTCTGGAGACAATTTGATAATATGGCGGCCTTACTGGAAGTGCATTTTACATTCTTATATGGCTTAATGTTTTTTGTCCTTCGTCTGTGTGTGTTTTGAATTCAAAATACTATGAAAAAAATAATTCATATATTTGGTAGAAATTAATGACCTCTAGGATTGAAATCAAGCAGGAAAAAAATGGATGGGGATATGAATTTGTTTCCATTTCAACAAGCCTTAATTAATAACACAAGGTAGTTCATATCAATGCCAAGTAAGTGATCAAAACCAAGAACCATGCACCAGCAGACATGTGGAGGTGACTGGGGAGGTTTCATAGAGAGGGGAGCTTCAGTTCAATAAGGAGTGACTGAACCTGGGGGAAGTAAGGAAGAAGGGAGTAGGGGGAGAGAAGAGAGGAAAGAAGAAAAATAGGAAGCTAGAATGGAAAGGGGAATTAATAGGTTTTGTAAAACAAGTAGTCTAAGAAGGTATGAAGGCTTGTGATGGTAGAAAGTTGGGGATGAACTTGAAGAAGTACAGTCTCAGCATAGAAGCCCTTGAGGCCAGGCCTGGAAACGTAGTTTTTATCATTTTGACAGAAGAGTTTTGAACGAGAGAATGAAGTCATTAAGTGACATCTGGCATGATCAATTTTGTAGCAACCCTGTTTCCTTTGCGCCCCCCACCCCCAGTCCCTTCTCCTCACACCACGTGAACAGGCACATCTGCATTAACTTATTGCACCATTTTAAAAACGGTTAGTGTTGCCATAAAAATTAGAAGCAAATGAACAGATGGCTTTCTGTCAAGCAAAGAAGTGTTATTTCTTCAGAGATATTCTAAGCAAAAAGCAGCAGTGCCATATGTCAAAACGTGAGAACACTGACACATGTGCCCTCTTGCTGTCCAAGGTTCTCTATGTTGCAGTGCCGATTTATATTATATTTATTAAATAAAATATTTATTTATATATATTCAATCAGAGTCAGCGTGTGTTAACAATTTAGAAAAAAAGTTTTTGGCTGATACCACAGAGCATTACTTATTTTCAAGGAGGGAGGAATCTAAATACAGCCCTAAAATAGCCACTGGACATCTCACCACACCTCTTCCGCTCTGGTGATGGAGATTTTTACTACTCACCACATCTCCACTTACCCTCCATGTTTCTCTGCCCCTTGTCCTGAGGCAGAGCTGTAGGCTGTGGGAGGGAGTGATGTGTGTCACTGCCACGTCAAAGCGTTAAAGAAGCCAAAGCGCAGCCGTCCGGATGCCTTCCTCCCTGCTGCAGTAGTCTCGGAGGCCATGAGTTAAGCCACAAGAACAATGTACCCAGATTGCTCTGTCACTGCCTAGGGGAGAGGTGGCCTGGAGAGTCACCCTACGCACAGTAGGATTTGTAAGAATAAAGGATGTAAGCCTTTATTCTGTAAAGACTCTGAGACTTAAGCCTGACTTTTCTGACTAATCCAGCCCTTTATCCTTCACCTATCTATTTGTATCCTATTTTTACTGCCCTGAATTATGTTGAGATTTTTTGGACAAGACTAGATAATTTCGACTAAGTCATCTTAATCCAGTCTGCTGGTCCTTGGCAATAGCCTGGAGTAGCAGGTCTGGGGATTAGAAGGGAAAATTCTTACCGTCTACCTTACCGAGATTCTCTGGTCAACTGGAGACACTATGCCTTGAAGAGGGCTTTTGTTAATTGTCCTTAGTTATTTCACGTGCATATCTTGAAGTATGTTTCCTTTGCAAGAAGCGTAATGTTCTCCTAAAAGGAACTTGGGCAAAAAGCACCAAGGAAAGAAGATCCTTCTCTGATCTGTTCAACTATCTGTGAGTTTGGTTCACTGACTTTCAGCTACTCACAAATGACTAGTGATAATGAACTGCTTCTAACCCTTTAGGGAACTGAAATCGTTTAGGAGCATGTTCGACGAAATGGTTTACTTTGGTAGCTACTCTCCTATTTAAACTGCTTGGATTGTGGATATTTTCCCAGCAGTATTGGCAATTTAGTTGAAATCTTGTTATCCTGGACAAGTGAACTGAAGTACGTGAACTGTTCAAAATCTCATAAAGCAAGCTGATAGAAGAGGTAAGGAACAGTGTTATTATTGTTTCTTTGAGAGCTAACCAAGTAGTCAACTCTAGCCAGTGAGCTTAAGTTTAGCCTTCAGAACTGCTATTCAGGATTCCAGCAACTTCAGGCATCTCAGTGTTTAGGTTTTCTGACATGTTTCTGTCAAAACATGAACAATAACCAAATGATAGTTTTGCTAGAATGTGTTTCAAAGATTAATGAAAAGAATATCGTGGTTTAACAATGTAGGGAAGATTTCATCAGTATTTTGTTGCTTAATGAAACATAAATTCTTAGTATCAGGTAGGAAAAACACACCTTGATAATATCTTCATGGGAGTCTGAAAGTCTGCATGAATTTATGGTTCTAACTTCAATCCCATTGGTGTCACATAACTTGCACATACTCATACCACAGTCAAACGTGTATTATATGCAGCTAAGTGTGTGCACATCCTATTTATCTGAGTAACCAGCTGATAAAGCTGATTTTGTTTATGGCTGAACGAGTGTTTATCTTGGGTTCCTCCTTAAATGGTTTACTCACCTTACTTGGTGAGGCCAACATTCAGCCTATTCTGTATCATGAATAGCATTGTTAACCAGTTGACTTTGTCAGGTGTCAGTCATGATTGTCAACAATGCCCTAACCCAGCTCTAAGAGGTTCTGGCAAGCGGCGTAAGCGAACCTGATAGAAATAATGGTGTAGAGAACAGAGGCGGAACTGTAGATGAGTAAATTTCAATTTGTTCAAGAAGCGGAATATGCTGAATAATATATGTGCTAAGTACTTCCAGTAAATTGCAAGTTGCTGTTGGTGAAATACTACTTCTCAGAGAAACCACAAAGCCCTTATATTTGAAGTTGTCTTTAGTCAGAGTTGAAGACCTAAAACCAACTCTTAAGGTCTATGAAGAGCTGGTATTGGGCTAGAAGGCTTGGCCACTTTCTAGCTGTGTCATGCTGGGAATGGCAATTCAAGTCTCTTGGCCTCAGTTTTCTCATCTGTAAAACAGAAATAATAAGAGTTACCTGTCTTAGAGGGTGATAGGGAGGAACAAGTGAATTGATACCTATGAAGTGCTTAAAACATTGGCATATAAATAAATGCGTATAAATATCTGTTAATACTATTTTAGGGATGTTGCAGCCATTCTATAGAATGTATCCAATGCTAAAACTGTGCCAAATAATATTCTTAACAAAAACTGTGTTAAAGTAATTTAATCATTTTGATGTGGAATAAAATATTGACTTCTAACTGTGCTATGTTCATTTAAAATGTCTATTCAATTTTATGTGCCTTATGGAATAGGCCATGAGTCACTTCTTAAAAATAATTCCCAGATGGCATTTATCTTTTTCTCATAAAATAAAGCCTAGAAAAAAAGACATTCATTTTCATTTTATAATAAACAAAAAACACAAAGCAGCATCTTCCTTGAGAATATGACAGGGTCCATTCTACCAGGAGTGAAATCACACAGACCTTGATGAAAACACACAGAGATGCATAGATTTAAACACCTGTTGTAAGAGAGCAGGCCTTAAAAATGGGCCCCAGCTCTCCCCCTTAAGGACACTCATTTATGTGTGAGGTCAAAACATGCCTACTAGCTCTGTTTATTTCTAGGTACCCTTTTAGCAAGAACTATTCTGTATTGATCTAGTGGATTAGCAGAAATACTAATCCAGAATGACTTTTAGGATTCTGAATGTCAAAATAAGTTTAGTACTGTCTAGAGAAAATATAATTAGTGGATAAAAAATTCCTCTGCATCCTGTGCTGGAGAGAATCAATGCAAACTGGGCTAGAGGCCCAGTCCTTTAAAGCACACTGGATATAATTAACGATTTACTAAGACTAATGTATTCTCTTGGGAGAGAATACAATTGCCTGCTATTTATTAACTGAAAACAATCCTAACAATTTAAAATATTAGTTTTCCTTGGATATAATACTTATGAAGCTTCAGTGGAGTGAAGTTAAAAAGTGAGGAAAAATCTGCAACAGTTAGCATTTTTACTTCTATTCCAAACACTAGGAAGAGTACCTAGCTGGCTGCTCAGTGTTTGACTATAAAGACCATCCTGGAATACCTCTCATAGTTTCAATTTCCTAATAAAAAAAGAAAGCCACAAGTTGAAGTTGGTATTGATCTACATGATATAAGTGATGTACATGGGTCATAGATTAAATTAATGATTTTCCTAAGTTCTTTTTTTTTTTAACAGAGAGAAGCCAGAACCTATTAGCAACCCTTTGAGAACACAACATAACGAACTTGACCATTTTACTACTTCTTTGAATAGGTAAGATCCTATCCTCTCTGCAATAAAAGAGTTACACACTGTTGTGAAAAACAACTCTTCGTTAACCGTATTTTTTTTAATCTTAATTAAATAAATATCAGTTCACTTTGATAGTGGAGAAATATGCATGCATTCTACAGCTAATTTAAGGAAGAAAAAATACATAATGCATTTACTGAAAGAGTCATAAGCAACATTTATTTTGTTTGTACTTGCTCCTTTATAGTGGTTGCATGAGTAAATAAAGGAATGTATACACTTTACAAATAGAAAGAATATTGTCCTTTATTTTACATCTTTCTTTAAACTCAGAATTCCTAGGTAATCAAATGTTCACTATTCAGCCCCAACACCACAAATTTACTTCACCAACCACAAGGACATTCAGTACTGAATATTCAAAGCTCTTCCATCACTACCCTGCTAAAAGCAGTCCTCACTGTACACATTAAAGGATACATCTGCACACCTACTACTGGGGGACTATAATGAGCAGTAATAATATTAGTAGCCACCCCTGTCTTCCTTACACCATAATGACTGAAATAAAATGCACATCCTAAAAAAAAATTTCTATGATAAAGGCAGAATAATATTACAGAAAGAATACCCATGAGTGATTTCTTATTCTAGGAAATGAAGAATGCATTTTCATTGACTTTCTTGTTATGAGAAGTACTGAATATCCAATCGCAAATTGGCCATAGCACTGTACACTTTACTGTTTTATTATTTCTTTATTATTTTATTTTTAATCAAGAAAATTTACAAAATTTTCAAAGTGAAATATAGAAAGTATTTATATATTAAGATAATAAATACCTAAGTATCAGCCACATGAATTTTTTAAATGTTAATATTCAGTTTTTTTGAAATCTTTTCTACAGAAATAAACCTTTCCTTTCTTCCTAAAGTTGCACAGTCCTGAAGATGATATAACCTTCCTGTGTTTAACGATTTCCTAACCTTAATGACATGTGTATAAACAATATGCCATGCAATCATTTATGTTTTAAAAGTTTTCATAAGTGGCATTATTCTGTAGATATCTTTTGCAACTTGCCTCTACTCAACATTATATTTAGAGATTCATCCATATTGATACATAAAGAGTTAGTTGACTCATTTTAACAGTCATAAAATTGACTCATTTTAATGTTTCAATCACCTGGTGCTTAGTATTATTGATTATTATTTCTAAATAACTTGCAGCATTTTGAAGATTTAATGCTACAATGGTTAAAGCATGGCTTTCAAAGCGTCTTTCAGATTTGTGTATAAGAAATATGAAGACCTTAATATGTGTTATTGTACCAATTCTGTTTATGTTTCACTTTTTCCTATTAGAAAAGCTTTTTTTGGCTGTAAGGATTTTGCTAACTAGTGGTACTCATTTCTTACTGCTTTTGCCATAACACAATAATTGAAATCTGTTTTATTTCCCCATGGATGAAATACTGACTATTCTCAAATACAATGTAAATACTACCTTTGAAATTTAAAAGATACTCAAAAGAAAATCAGTCATGTTTGGCCCATGTTAATTGTTCATATTCCCTTTAAAAATCATGAAAGAAATATAAAAAAAAGGATTTTTTTTCTAATTTTCTCTAACACTACATTTATTTTACAATTTAATCTAAGGTAAATGAAATATCAGTATATAGTAGTAAGATTCATAGACATAGACTCTTTTCATAACTATTTTTTATTTTCTGAAGGGAGTAAATTTCTACTCTGACAGAGTCAGGAGAGAAAACAGATAAACTAACCTTTGCGGGACAAATATGAGTACAGATAAGACTTTACGTAAGCCTCACAGGTCATAAGTGCAATACAATTTTGCATATGGGAAATCAAGGCCCATATATATCAGGAAACTTAGAAGATCATACAGTGATTACAGAACCTGGATTCAAACTCATCTCTCTTCAGACTTCAAAACTATACCACCTACCAGAAAAAGATTTGGGAAAACCTAACCTGTTTGATACATAAATAGCAGTTTCATTTATTCCACCAATATTTATTAGGATTCTTTTATCAGAGTTGAGGGGACTAATGTTAGAAAAAAAGGAAGACATGATATCTACCCAGAGCAAGAAAACAGGCTATTGGGAGTAGTAGAGATTCCTTCCATGATACCATACGTGTGACTGTTTAGTTACGTATCTCCATGTTGCTATGTCCTCTTAACACTGAATGGCATAATAGGGGTGAAAATGCTTTGTAAATGACAAAATCTTTGCAATCACATCCTAATATTACTAATTATTCTGTAAAATTTAGAATTGAATGTTTCAAACCTGATACGTGTATTTCTAAATGTGAAGTTTGATATATGTCTCTGACATTTAAGCCTTACTACTTTATATCATAGCGACTTTTGTAAGCCCCATGTAAACATGAAAGTGTAGTAGTTAAACAAGCCTGACAATTGCTTATTTTTGGCCTCTGCTACATATGAGAGGCATATTATTTAACCTTCTTAATCCTCATAGCAAATAATGACAGTAACACGCTCATCACTGCCCAGAATCTGGTCATTTCTCATTGTCTTTACCTGGATCGTTGAAATCCACTCTCTCTCACCTTGACCACTGCAACAGCTGCCTGTGCTCAGTCTTGCTCTCCTATAATTGATTGTTCACATAGTCTGATCCTTTATAAATCAATTGATATAAATCTTCTGTTCAGAATCCACCAATGGCTGCCCATGATAGAATAAAGCCCATATCCTACTGTGGCCAGCAAGGTGCTATGTAAGTTGACATCTTCTACCTCCCTGATATCATTTCAACATCTTCTCTTCCCACTGGGGTCAGAGATGTGATATTCTGAGCTGTGTTTGGAATGGTGTCTCTATCTTACTTGTTGAGGGACTAGAGAGGTATTCAAGGGTTATTGTATATATTGTATATGCCACACACAGGATCTGTAATGGACATCAGTGATGGCTGTTGTCCTTTTAAAGATTCTTTCAGTTTGTCTTATTAGAGTCCGTCATTTCTGAAATGCTGAGGAGTTTTCATACATCTTTGTGACATATAATTTTATAGCATTATGACAAAGCTTGATTCTGCTATATAATGTTAAATCTTAATTACAGTACCAAGAACACAGAGACGAAGTAGCTGAGTGGAAATGAGAAAACCATTTTAAGAGCAAAAAAGTTTACTTTATTATTCCATGACATCTTTTATCTAAATAATATTAAGATTTGCCACAATGTGACATTGCTTAGATTTTGCTTTATCTTCGGAATAGATTTACATCTTTTCATCATCCATAAATGGGTGAAGTTTATCCTTTAAGACAATATTCTGTAAATTAGGCTGATTTTTTTTTGTTTTATTTTTATAATAGTCCTTAGGAGCAGCACTTGATGAGTGTTTACATTGTTGAGAACATTTGGCAAGAGAAAGACAAGCAGTAGGACCACAGTACCCTGACAGTGAGGGAAAAGAGGAAAAAAACCTGGTATTTTCACTGTCTTCTCCGAAAATAAGTACCTCGACTTGTTCTGATTACTATCTCATCAGCATTCAGCTCTGGTCCATGGCACTCTATGTGAATCATTTTAAAGGCAGATTAAACATTCTAAAAATAAAGTCTACTGGTAAATTAGGATATCAGATGTTCCCTTTATGAAAGCCTTTTCTAATCTGTACTATCAGCTGGCAGCCATACCCAGGCCCCAGACTGTTCAGGCTCCTACTGAGCAAGAACCTATTCCAGGGGTGAGGTTTTGAAGAGGGATGTCTCATGGTTAACTGGAGACAGAAAGAGGGAGCATTGCCCACATACTCTGGCAGGAGTTAAAATAACAATAACAGTCCTCCTACTTAACAGGCTGAGTCATAAGCACATCCTACTGAGTTCTCTGCGATTCCAAGCAGATTGTTTGGGCTGCAATTCTGTGGGCAGAGGTGGGCACCACCTGCCACAAAAGGCTCTAGTTCTTGTTAGGAGGGAGCTGTTATTAAGTCTTGCCTTTTAGCAGCTTGGCCAGAAGGAGACAGGGAAAGACCAAAATTTGGTGCTGATGAGCACTTTTTCTAATGCTTAGACTGAAAGAATGATTATTATGCATTGAGTTCTTTTGCTGGCCATGACTGCCAGTAGCTTAATAAGGGAGGCTTATTGTGGGAGTTTTTAAAAGCCAAATGTTGTTGGATGTTGGCTTTCAGAAAATTCTGTAGACTAGCTGCAGTAGCCTTGTCTCAGTCAAGTTGGGGAAGGGGTCAGAGCCCATACAAGGCTACTTTCTGCTTAAGCAGAAGAGGGAAAGTGATTATGTGGTTACTAAGGTACCTGATGATGCAGGTGCCAGACCCTTACTCCCTCATCGCAGGCCTTCAGTACACATACCCACACCTTTCAGTGGCCTTTGATGAGTTCCCCTTTTCCTGACTCTTGTATAACCTGACTCTCAGGCAGTCTGGCACCATTTGACTTTTTCATATGGATCAATCATTTCTTTTACATACTTAAAAGTTTTGTGTAATATAAAGGCCCAAACTCACTAAAGACCTGTCAAATCAGACTTCAGGGAACCACTTCTGGACAATCTCCAATCCCTCTCTCTTACTCAGTTGCCTTTCCTTCATTCTAACCACAGCAGACCACCTGCTACTTCTTCAACTGAATTATTTCTCTTTGTACATCACGTTTTTCTCTGTTATTTATTGCCTTTGTGATTTCTGCAACTCCTGCCTGAATACCCATTTTCCCCTTGTCTGACTTACAGAAGCCTATGCCTCTTCAAGTGTCACTCTTTCTGTGAAACTTTCTTCTCCAGCCCAAAAAGTGAATTGCGCCTTTTGAGGGAGGAGGAGGCACTTCCATAGACCTTTATGTGTATCAAAACTACAGGAAAATCATCTTGCTGTGTAATTATTTTCATCTATGTCTTTCTCCCCCAGTCCTCAGAGGCAAAAGTTTTGTCCTCTTCATAGTTGTGCTTCCAGAGCCATGTTATTATATTCAAAACAAAATGA